AAAATCTCAAAACATCAAAATAATTCCTAGTTGGAAAGACTCAAAATGCTTCGATACTGCTATCAGTTCTACTGGAACCAATTCTTTTTTTTTTTGCACGAAGTGACTCACAATAACTGATTACCATTGACGGTGCACGTAGCGCTGTTTTAGTATCTATGTGTGCCGGCGAAGATGGTTGCGATGGCGATTCACCTCTAGGTGATGAAAGATTCATTGCTTGTTCTCCTAATCCAATGCTATCCTCGTTATTGTTTTCAGTTCCGGAATCTTTTTTGCCTGAATGGTCGACGTTTCTTTTTCGTTTCCGACCAATATCGACCCATTTTATCTATATCGAGATCATCATTCATTGGCTCATCTGAACGTTTCTTTTTCCTTTTTTTTCGCTTTTTCCTTTCCTTCTCATCCTTCTCAGTAATATTTTTTTCACCCGATAACGAGATAATCTCTTCTTTTTCTTCGTGTTTTTTCTCTTTTCTTTCCTGAAACTATGCAAATTTTCCAGATAATTTAATGCTTTTACTACTTCTCAGAAACAATTATTATTTGTGTTTAATTGTTATTATATTTGTTTTTATTATAAATCAAACAGTTTAATTTCCGATAGATATGAGGAAGTATTAGCATTCAGTAAACAAAATGTTTCGATACCTTTCCACGAGTTCTTTGCCAATATTTCGATTTCCTCCTTGGTTTACGTGCTAAACTTCGTATTAACAAAATACTTCCATTAAACAGGTAAACGAATTATAACATGACTAAAGTTATAAAAATCCTCCGATTGAAGGAATCACCAATACCAGACGAAAATTTCAGTCGAGAAATGCCGTAATATTTCCCTCTCACTTAAATGTACTGCAATGGAAGGTTCTATGCTTCCATATGGTATAGACAGTCCTAAAGGTACCAAGAGATTTAATTCCATGATAATTCTACTATTAGTGAATAGGAGAGTGAATGAATTTTATTGTACTTTTGCCACCTGCCGAATACTTGAGTTTTTTGGTATAAATTGCTCCCTTAACCGCTGATAATTATAGTAAAAATCTCGCAATTAATGTCGACAAGTAATGTGAAGTATTAGTCAAAAGTTCATTTTCCAACATACATAAACGAAGTTTCCTGCGAGTTACCAAATGTTCAGCTTCATTTTGTTTGCCACCGCCATAAAGACCTGTTGTGTCTACCTAAATTTTGTAAGAAATTAAATGCTTGCTTCAGACTTTTTTTTTTGAACTATTCACGCTAATCTGTACAATTGTTAGGCTTATTATACTAAAAATTCTTTCAGACTGAAATTAGAAATAACAGAAGCATACAGCATTAGCTTTTGCATAGTTAGTACGTTTCCACATGTGGTGTTTTTCCATTCCGCCTCTGATTTCTGTTGAATTTTTTTCCGTTTCTTTATTTTCTGTTGATTCCATCTATAAGTGACAATTAAGCATTTTTAGCAAAAGTTTAATTGTCCGTGTATTTTATGCAAGTTTTTCCCTTCTGTCTTTTCCATTTTCTTAAAATACCTTTGAATTTGAAATCGAAACATACGCAAAAAGAGCACTACAAATCACCATTGATGACCACAGCACAATTTGAGCGTATCATTAATTCTGAACAGTGAAAAAACTATCATGAAACATCGGGAGAAACCCATCTGAATGTTGCGAACCTGAGTTTTTCTTTTCTTGACTGGCTTTACACTGAAGTCAAAAAATATTTCCCCTGACATGCCAATTTTAACGCACCTCTACAACCTCAGCGATAGCAATACAAATGAAGCAAATCGTAGCTTTGTGGATTTATATTATTGATGAATATGAAAATTTTCTCAAAATCACCATGCATATTTTATTGAAAGCAATCAGTGAATTAACTTACTAAATATTTTATTTTATTTTTTAAAACGTAAACAATAATTGTTTCTGAGAAGTAGTAAAAGCATTAAATTATCTGGAAAATTTGCATAGTTTCAGGAAAGAAAAGAGAAAAAACACGAAGAAAAAGAAGAGATTATCTCGTTATCGGGTGAAAAAAATATTACTGAGAAGGATGAGAAGGAAAGGAAAAGCGAAAAAAAGGAAAAAGAAACGTTCAGATGAGCCAATGAATGATGATCTCGATATAGATAAAATGGGTCGATATTGGTCGGAAACGAAAAAGAAACGTCGACCATTCAGGCAAAAAGATTCCGGAACTGAAAACAATAACGAGGATAGCATTGGATTAGGAGAACAAGCAATGAATCTTTCATCACCTAGAGGTGAATCGCCATCGCAACCATCTTCGCCGGCACACATAGATACTAAAACAGCGCTACGTGCACCGTCAATGATAATCAGTTATTGTGAGTCACTTCGTGCAAAAAAAAAAAGAATTAGGTTCCAGTAGAACTGATAGCAGTATCGAAGCATTTTTGAGTCTTTCC